CTAGTAGTTAATTAAAAAATACAGTAAAACAGCCAAATACAAATTATAAGCGGTTAACTAATAGTTTTTAGCCACGCCCACATCTCATCGAACATATTAAAATCTGATTTGATTGAAGGAAAGTCTGCCGCTGTCACTCGAATTCATTTGATTTGTAAATGCCATTTTACATTACTGAACAGTTTGTTAAAAATTTAAATTGACATACAAAATTGTATAACAAAATTCAAATAAAGAACATAGAATTTGTAATTGGATCACCTTTAATATTTAAATTATATTTATTTAACTACGCCCAGTTGTCTGTTCCACTAACATTTATATGTGTTGTATTATGGACCGGTCGGTTTGTTTATCATACATTTTTTCGGTGGCCGTAAAATAAGAACCCTTTTATGGGCAACCCAATTACTTTTTATGTTGATACCTACCGATGGATGCCGATATTGCTTTGATATTGAGATGCTTGGTATTCGCGCACGTTACTGTTGTGTGACCGTTTTTAGGGTTCCGTGCCAAAATGGAATTTATTCCAATGATTTTTTTTATATGCTACTTTCTAAGTAGCATATAAAAAAAATCATTGGCAAACAAGCTGACGGCCCACCTGATGGAAAGTGGTAACCGTTGCCTATAGACTTGACCAGTACCATGGACATAACAGAGTATACTGTTTCGCCCATGATACTCCCCATGCGGTGCCATTACTGAGGACTCTGGTGTTATTTATTGATTTAAAGCAGTGTTAAAATAACAGATTTAATTAAATATTTATTAATAAATTCAACCTTATTGCATTATAATATTAAAAATTATATATTGAAATTGTAAATAAAGTTATATTATTAGTACAATTAAAATATTATTAATAATAATAATCCATATATATGGATTAAAATACATATAATAATCATTAGTATATTAGTCTTTAACTGTCCGCTGCTGAACATAGGCCTTTCCCTTGGGGGTATTTGCCAGTAACTGTCACGCTTGACAGGCGGATTGGTAATCGCAGGCTTTGGAGATGTTTTAAGAGTAGCTGCTGCCCTTTCCTCGTCCTCTCTTAGTCGCCTCATAGGACACCCACGGGAAAGAACGGCGTGGCCTATTCTATGCTGGGACCACACAAATTATTATATCAGCCGTTAACTGACCACTGCTGAATATAGACCCTCCCCCAAGGAAAGAATTGTCAGTAATTCCCACGCTTTGGCAAGCGAAATACATGCAATATATGGTATTATAAAAAAAAAAGTATGTTTACGCCAAGTAATTTTTTATTTATGTTGAAAAATGACACTTCCCTTCCTAATGTCTAAAGTTTGTTAAGAACAATTTGAAACGAAACATGAAGATACACGATCGTGATAAACTTCAGGAATAATAGACTGATATTTTAACCGGTAAAAGAATATACTTGTTTTTAGAAATTATCAAAAATACTTCACAGAGGTGTTATAGAATTTTAAACTGTATATATAAAAATTATCCCGACTATGTTTTATTCACAGTTATACTCGTAGTTAAAACTCGAATTTTGTTTCATAGCGCTAGAATACAGAACCCTCGATATACGTGTCCATCTCGCGCTTGGCCATTTTTAACGACACTGGCGGTTAGTATAAATTTTCATTATTTCATACAATTCTGGGGTATTGAATGTTAATGGTGTTATATTATTACCTATGTTGGTTTTATGGGAGACGATAACGTCTGAAAACGTCCAACGGAACAAAAGGTCTTCTTATCTCAAAGGTATTTTTGGGAAAAACAAAATTGCGCAGTGTAAAGTAAACGCAAAAAATGCTGCATTGGGATTATAAGAGATAAGAAAGAAATTAAAAGTGAGAAATATTTTGATGTCGATAAAAAAGTCTTATCTGTGTTTATAAAAATTGTAAGAAAAGTTTATATTAATCTGATATAGATATTAGATGTGACAAACAGATAAAATAACTAATACTGACTATTTGCTATCTTTAATTTTTTTTCTTTTTTTTTCATGCAACATAGAATGGCAAACAAGCTGACGGCCCATCTGATGGAAAGTGGTAACCGTCGCCTATAGACATGAGCAGTATCCGACTCTTCAAACTGAAATACAACCATGCAAATATATCTTGCTTTACTGTAGAAATACGAAATTGACAGAGGAAACAAGCAAACTACATTTGTACAAAGTCTCCCATATTTTATATTTGTGGATTCAAACTTCTACTTCTCTTCTATGAGAAAATAATAAAATATTTGAAACATATTCTCATTTCCCCGTTTATAACAGTTTATTTTGAAATAAATATGACAGTAGATTATAGAATGAGAATGTCGAGGTTTTTCCAAGAGCCTTCTTTATACAACTTAGAATGGCAAACAAGCTGACGGCCCACCTGATGGAAAGTGGTAACCGTCGCCTATAGACATGAGCAGTACCATGAACATAACAGAGTATACTGTTTCGCCCATGATACCCTCCATGCGTTGCCATTCCTGAGGACTCAGGTGTTATTCCTCTGTACCCTGTAAATTTACTGCCACATCCGACTCTTCAAACTGAAACACAGACTACAGACTACACTTAAAAAAAAAAAGGAAAAAGGTTTCATCAGAGGCAGTAACGCGTGCGTAATGCTCCAAGTATTGCAGGCATTTATAGGCTACGATAACAGCTTATCATCAGGAGGGCCGTATGCTTGTATGCCACCTTAGTAACATAAAAAATATATTTAATACTTATAATTTGAAAAACAAGGTTCTAATGTGTTTTAAGGAATATAGTTAACAAACAAATAATACGCCTGATGGTAACTTCTTATCGAAGCATTTTTTTTAATGGGTGAAAATGTAATGATAACCCCGCCTGCGCTATCGGTATACGCTGGCGGGGCACCAGTGATAGATGATAGGCGAGTATAAAAGTAGGTCAGTCGGCCCATCGTGAAGAATTCCCCAAGAATTAAGTACGATGGTTTCCAGAAAGAACTGCGTGGCTGTCGACCTGACAGGTTATATTGCTAGCAACAGTCCAGTGATTTCTAAAATGAATTCAAATCAATAGCATTGCTAGTTGCTGAGATACAAATAGCTGAAACAAACAGACGGACAAACGGACGGATAAAGTCGTACCATAAGGGTTCCTTTGTACCTTTCTGGTACGAGCCATATGAGCCGTCAATTTCTTTAACAACTAAAAATATAAACGTCGTTCTGCGATATATAAATACAGTTTAAAGTTTTGGTAATTCGACAAAAATCTGTGATTTAATTTTTTACTATTGTTATATTAGCCATTAACCGTCCACTGCTGGACATAGGCCTCACCCATAAAAAAGGGTTTTACCAATAGTTACCATGCTTAGGGGGTAGGTTGGCAACCGCAGTTAGGCTTTTTTGATGTTTTAAGTGAGTCGCTATTGCCCATGTCTTGTACATTTAGTTCTTTTAGTATCCTCTTACGACACGCACAGAATAGGAAGGGGTAGTCCATTTTATGCTGGGACCTAACGGTGGTAATTTTAATACTGTAACATAAACAGCGTTAGGTGTATACAAGTGAAAACATTGGCGCAGTGCATTCCTCATCTCACCAATAGGCAGCCACTGCAGTGCAAACTATTAAAATACAATTTCAAAAACTGTCTCTCATTCGTTATTCTCCGAGTTTATAGCTTAGCCGCTTTGCAGTTTTTCCCCTTTATTTATAGGGTGTGCATTTTTTGTTTTATTTTACAAGCAAAGCAATGAATTCCGTTTATAGTCTCACTTGTTTAGCGGTCTATTATTAAAACTTCTATAAATCGTGTTTTAGTCGTTCCTGGCAGATTTATCGGCGGTAGCTTTGTTTGGTTATTTATGAATTTCGAAATCGACGATTAGATTTCCCATTTTTTTTACGACTCCTATTCATAATCTTCTGTTACGGGTTCCGGATGACGTGTATTATCAGCGATGGATGTAACAATGGCATTGTCGTTTGTTTTGTTTAGATTGTTTTATTTATTAATAAAGTAACATAATAGCCTGACCGTTCTTTATTTAAAATTAAAATCACAAACTCTATTTATCAATCGACTTCAAAAATAAGGTGATTCTCAATTCGAACATGTCTACAGATTGGTAACATACAAGTTTTATTAAAATTTATTTTATAGTTTTTTTTTATTTAAGAAAGGAATAACGAAATATTTTTATTCGACGAAACTTAGATTTGAGCATTTTTTAGTTGTATTTTTTTCATTACCGACCATTTATATCAAAATAACAAATTTTGTTACAATTGAAGTTTCCTTCCTTTTGAAGTCAGTAGAAAGTGATAGTATTTTTTACTTCGTAATGAAAATGATGTGATACGTGCAAATGAAATAAAACTGCAGTCACTTGATAAGAAAAGTTTCAAATGTAAAAGGTATGACTATTCCGCATTTACATTTTGTTTATAACCTTGATGTATTCTCGAGGGTTCACGACTGTATTTCAATGTATCATAATTTAAATAATGATATTATAATTTACAATATATATTAAAAAAAATATATTTACAGTCTAATATAATGCTTTATTGGAAATAAAAATTGCTATTACGAACTCAAAATGCCATCAGGTATAGAGAATTAACACCACAAAGATATTATACCTTTGTTCTTTACAATATCATTACCTTTAGATTATAGAAAGTTATCAATAAATGTAAACGAAGCATTGGAAATTTGCTTGTATTTTTATAAAATAATCCAATGTTGAGAATAACAGAGTAAAAAAACTAGATCAAAGGGACATTATCATTTATTAATAACATTGATGCCTCACGTTCCACCATTTTAAAAGGTACAAAAGAGTTAAAAGCAATTTTCCTTTCATTTTATATTACTTTTAATTTAAAAACAGCCTTCAGGATATACCCTTTTCGCTTTGAAATTTATTCTCATTTTTTCCTTATTATGTCTTAAGCCAAAAACATAATTGTGGAAAGGAAAATGTTTCAACAATTTTATTTTTGTCAACAGGTAAAATATCCGCCCAGAGTGAAAATGTCCTTAAAATCAGCTGTTAATGGAAGATTTCCTGAGGGGAAAGATGTTGTTATTGGTAATAATCTACTTCTTAAGTTTTCTTATTCTCTTTAAGTGCTATTTGTATATAATTTTTGACGTTACTTATACATGATGTTATAATTTACTTTTATATAGATATATTACTCGTGTTGAATAAAACTTAGAATTTTATATAACACCTGATGGATAATGGTGACCGTCGCCTATAGACATGAACAGTACCATGGATATAACGGAGTTTACTATGTCGCTTATAATACCCTTAATGCCATTCCTGAGAACTGTTAGAGAGATGTTATGGCTCTATTATATATAGTTATATTAATAAAATATATTTTATTAGTATGAGTATAAATAAAAGACTAAGAACTTCTGTCAGAACTTTTACACAAGAAATTCATGGATTTTTCTAAAGTAAATAAAGCATACAATTCTATAATTTATTTTACCAAAAGGAAAACGTTGTCCGCATGAATACATCTATAATGTTTATTTCTGTCGTCAAGTTGTTATAGCTATAGAATAGATATGTTTGAAGTTTGGAGAGGTATAATATAGTAGCAGATTACTAGGTACTATGACTTAGTAGGATCCTTATATTCTATAGTTGAAAACGTGCGGATGATATCTCTACTATTCGAATTAATTGTTCAGGCTTATAATTAAACGAAAATAATTAACATTATTTATTAATTATTATTTTTTTGTGTTAAGTGTCATGCAATCACATAATTGGCCTGGTCTTAAAACTAGGATACCCTGTGTTAAGAGAAAATGTGGCAATTATCATCTGGAGACATAATCCAAAACTATTACACTCGAACCGATTTATAAAATTTCATTTTCTAAATTTGTCTGACCGGTAATCAAACCCGGAATCTTAACGTCCTATTACTGAGCTGACTCTTATCCTTTGGCAAAAGTATATAAAGCTAAACCACGCTGACTAAATAGCTCATTATAGAGTTTTGTTTCAAGTTTTTCTTCTTTATATTTCTTCTCATATTTCTCCATGGTGCTATTTACGTCTACAGTTAACACTTTCTATCAGGTGGATCGTCAGTTTATTTGCTATTCTAAGTATCATAAAAAATATATCCAGTACTGGTGTACACATCATATACTTTGTACCCTTTATTGCTTCCGATGACATATTGAAGACATAAAGGATTGCATTCACAGTATTATTTAACCTTCGTCACTGAACAGAGAATACGCGTATATACATGTGTAACTATAATTTCTTACATCTGAATATATTATTGATCGTACAAATCCCCCCACAGCATGTAAAGGCGACGCGAACCCCACTAATCTGACGTACAAATGGTATATGAATGACAAACTCATCGCCGCGAACAGCACAGAATTGGTGAGTGGTATTAGAATTAATTTTGATTCCAATTTAGTACAATTAAATATTAGCTTATTCGATGATAGCGGATGATCTTATGCTGAATGTAAATCTGCTAATTGTGTATTTTTGGTAGGTAATGCTTAATTATATTGCTTAATAATACTTAATTATATTGGGTTTGTTTGTAACAATTTACTGTACAAATGAAATGAAAATACAAAATAGCAGTGATACAAAACAATTTCAATAAAAAGAATTATTTATTTAAATCCAGTGAACGTTTGATATAATAAAATATGGTTTCAAATGAAAGCTTATTGACAATCCTATTTATGTCATTCAAATAGTATTATTTAATATTTGTATATTTATTTTATGTATTAAATGTTAAGTATTCAATTCAATCAGTAATTTTATTACTATATACCATAACATTCTTGATAAAATATTTTTTAAGCACATTGTAATTTTAAATAATTTTCAAGAATTTAATATCAAGATTGATATTAACATTGATCTAATTCCACAGAGAATTCACAATATAACAAGACAGTATCACGATCATGTTATAAAATGCGAAGTACACAACGAAGTTGGGAAAACCGAGGAATCACATGTTTTGGAAGTTACTTGTAAGTATATTAATAAAACATACTTGACTTAATCAAGATAGTTTATTATTTTTTTAAATTTATGTTCATTTTTAATGATGTCTATATACATGCATTATGTGAATTTCATGAACTTACTACGAGATGAGATGCTGTGACCCAATATATTGTACACCCCCTGAAGACTTTCGGATAAACTCGAAACAATCGTCGGAAACGGCAAACGCTAAGTTCATGAAATTCCCATTGTGCATGTGTAAAGACAAGAAATCTTATATTGTAATAATAATGTACTGACTGTATAAATTTACATAATTAAACTTTTTGGAGTTGGAGTCAAGCGTTCAATTCGCTGTACTTCAAACTTTGTAAGAAAACTTTACCGAACTACAATGCTACATGCAATTTTTTGCATATATTCCTTAAATATAATTAGTTTTAATATATCCTTGTATAATAATTTTTAATATTTGCACGCCTACAGTGTGGCAGAATAAGATTGGACTAATTTTCTTGTAATGTTACACCTATAAAAATGTACCTTATTCCAGCAGATAAATGATTTCAATTTCAATTTTAATAAAAGAACTATCAGTTATGTTTTAATTATTAATCTTTCATAAATTAATATTACATTATAAGAATTAACTTAAATAATGTGTCTTGTAGATGCGCCGAAATTTAAAAGTCACCCAAAAGACGTAGAAGCAGAAGTAGGCACTCCTATAACTCTCAGCTGCGATGTTGATGGTTATCCAGTGCCAGAAATTAATTGGCTACATCACGAGGAGGATCAAAACATCGTAAGTAAAACTAAAGCTCTCTCAATTTATTTTCTGTCAGCCATTGCAAATGATTATTATCACTCTCATCACGATAGTGATAATGCAGGGTTTATTTTGTCATTGTTATTGTTAGGTGTTATTTATTTTTCTGATATATTAATTAATTTTACTTCAAAACTAACATACTACTACTGGCCATTGATTTCTCCATGCAAAATAGCAGATTATTGCTTATTATTATCACACTAGCTTGGTATAGGGTATTGTATTTTGAAATTTTAAGCACTTGCATGAATAAAATTGGCTTTATTCCTTTACTCACTTTACATACACTGAGAGTGATAAAAAATAGTTATTTTATATTTGAAAAATTAAGCTAGTTAAGGACATATTATTACGAATTATACTTTATCTTCCAGTAACTCAAACTTTATTAATACAAATTCAATTAATAATTACAAATCAATAATACAGCATAAACAACGTTTGTAAATAAAGTAATGTGAAAACAAATATCTATGTTACCAATAATATGGATATTAGATTCTATTGAAGCTTCAATCGAACAATATTGTATGCACATGATCATTGTCATAAAGGCATCATTTACTTCACTGATAGGAATGCTTAATATTCTATTATAGCTGTGTGGTCTCAGCATAGAATTAATCACCTCTTCTTTTCCTGTGGCTATAGTAAGAAGCGATTAAGAGGCTAAATGGTCAAGGAATGGGCTGCAAAGTCCTTAAAACATCACTAAAACCTAATTACGGTTGTTAATTCGACCACCAAGCATGGCAACTACGGACAAAACTTTCCTTATTCAGGAATGATATGAGAGTTCAGCAGTAAACAATTAACGATTGATTGATAATAATAAATTTAATGTTACTTATTATTAATATAATAAGTAATCATAAGAGAGGCAACAGATACCTTTCAAGGACACGACCTTCAGTAATGAAGAGGACGAAGAGAGAGAGAGATTATTAATATAAGCTGTAAAATTTATCGGACACCAATGCGTAGTTACTGCAAATTAATCTTTCGATTTGTTAGGTCATAACGTGATCTCAAAATTTCCAAATAGGCCTACAATATCAATTGAGATATCATATGGAAGGGATTCATTAATATACACTAAAACTACATTTTATTTATTTTATACTTTTTTTCATGCAACTTAGAATAGCAAAAAGAGCTGTCAATCCACCTGATGGAAAGGAGTAACAGTCGCCTTTAAACATAAACACTACCGTTGCCATGACAGAGTATTCTGTGTCGCCCATGTTACCCTTTATGCGTTACCATGCCTGAGAACTAAGGTATTATGTCTCTGTACCCTGTAATTTCATTGCCCTATTCCACCCTTCAAACCTAGCAGACAACATTAGTCATTTTATTGTTTACGTTAACTTTATATTTAACATTAATAATTATAATAAATTTCTTTATAAAATCAATCCAATTCAAACTAAAGTCAACGAAATAGAGCGAATGCGAGATACAGAACAAATGCTACAACAGGCTCGATAAAAGAATATAAATTTTAACTTTTATTACAAAAGCGATATAGTTCACAATAGCTTCATTGTTTTACTTGGCTTATCATGTTCTTCTATCTAAAAACATTGTTTGACTTTTTAGGCGCGAGCTTTTTATAGAAACATTAATACGGGCACTTTACGTATTTTTGTATATGTTGATGTCAGGTTTGATTTATAATAGTGCCTTAATGCATATAATAATCTTGTCCACTGTTTACGTCTTGGAATAAAGTAATTTTGAATATGGGACTATTATTAAGTTTGAGGCTACTTTCATATCAAAAACGTATTACTTTTCTAAAACTAATGGTAATAGAAAAAGAAGTCCACCTTTTGTACCACATTTCATTGGTCGATAAAATTTAAATAAATAAATAAATATCATTATTTAAGTAGAGACAATTTGATTAGATATTGAATGCCCTAAATTTAAAATTGCAACAATTTTAGAATGGAATAAACTAAACACTACCTTAATACGAGTAAAGATAATGTATATAATTTATTTGATGTTATAAACAAAGAAATAAGAAGTATTATTATATTTCCTAAATCTTTGTATATAACTTTAAAAAAATCACACACATTACAAATTGTGGTAAATAGAACAATTAAATTGATATTATAAAAGTAGTTACCACATAAGTAACCCAATTTAGACAATGCACTTGTTTTATGAATGAACCTATTAATAATTATGTATGAGGTATATTTAGGAACAGAGTAACAAGATGAAAGAATGTCTGAAATTATTTTAATTTAATAGTAGTAAAAAAAGTGTTCTGTGTTGTAAAAAAAATTTAGTACTATTTACATAAATTAATGGAATCACGAATTTATTGTAGTTGTGTCCGAAATCTTATTCATAATCAATATTTACTTCAAATTGATTGTCAAGATGAAGTAATTAACACCATTCATTGCAAATGCAAACAAACAAAATTATTCTTATATATATTAACCTAACACTAATATTTGTCTTATTATTTTTTATTATTTAATTTCATTATTGCATACAGTACTCTTTGTATAGGCTCTTACGAAAGCCCAGCGTCGATGAGCCGTAAGGACTGCCGGTATATGCTGAGTACAAACCTTTTTAGTAACTATAATTTGTTTTTATTGTTAGCCCTTATAATACATATCACTAAATAATTTTTCTTTCTTTTTAATAATAATTACTTGTAATATAAGTAAGAATTCTACTCTGAATGTTCTGACCATTATTGTTCTAAAATTACCTGATGTCGTTGCCATGGCATTTGATATAAAAAGTACAAATGGCTTGGAAACATTAAAATAAAAGTCATACCATTACTTTGGTATTATCTCGTATCATCAGAAGAAAATCACTTTAGTCATTAATCAACTGTTATTTTTCCTATTTCTCAAAAAGTCATTTGTTTCTTCCGGAAAATATTTGTTCAAAGTGCCCATTTTATTTAAATTATATTATTTACTATTGTATTTTATATTATCTGATTTGTTTATTCCCTAATCAAATATCTCTTCATTAGCATTGATAAATGTTATCAATTATTACTTTTATCACTTTGTTTTATTTTTCTACTTCTCACAATTGCACTTAATTTCAAATTTCTTATAATTTTGTTCTTTTCTATTCCATTATATATTATCTTATTTATCTATACCATAATCTGCTTAGCGTTGGCAGATTGGAAATTTTTCGCGATTTTGCACAAAAAATTCCAATCTGCCAATTTTTAGAGAAAAATCATATGGGTGTAGAGAAAATTGGGAAAATTTGAAATCTTTTTACAGTTTTGTTATTTATAAACCGTATAACACAGTAAATAGATCTATAGAACTCTCACTAATATTATAAAAATAAAAGTGAGTTAGTTTATTTATTTCTTACCTTATAACACCTTAATGGCTTAACTAATCACTATGAAATTTGGTAGAAACCAAAATGGGATGTGGAAAAGAATATAACAGTATTATTTTTGTCATCCTTATTATAGTTTTATAGTAAAATGTAAAGTTTGTAAATAGATAAGTAAAGAAAATTGTGTCTATTTGGAAAAAAATATAGTCTGGGAGAAATCTATAACCCTATCTGGTAATGCTGTCTTTTTTATCTAACCTCAAATGTTTTTTATCTAACTTCATAAACAAGGAGTTTTTTAAGTTGGTTATCGTTGTTGTAAATCAATTTGGAGAATTCTTTTTATTTTTATCTGAAAGAATCTACTTACAAATTTTATCAAAATTGGTTTAATAGTTTAGTTGTTGAATTAAAATAACTGGTTTTTCCATAATTGGTTGCTTGATTGTTATTCTAAGTTGTGCGTTGTAATTGTTATTCTAGATTGTGTTTTTGTGAAACAAAATGGCAACCTTACTGACGGCCCATCTGAAAGGAAGTGGTAACCATCACCTATAAAACATCACGAGCATTATGAATGTAGAATACTGTGTAATACCCATGATACCTTTGAAATGTTGCCATTCCTGAGCAATCTATAATAATTATAATCTAAAATCATACATATGTTCAATAACATTCTACATGTTATTAATGTATCTACACATTACCTATATTGTTATGTTGAATTGAAACAAAGGGAGTGTGCCTTCGATTAATCGTTTAACGCTTTGTCAGAGCCATTCGTCTGTATTATTCCTTGAACAGAGACTGTTACTGTGTAAATGAAGGGTAGAATAAAATTAAATCAGTTTATTTGTATGGTGGGAACCATTTCAGACGGCCCGCTTTCGTATTCTGTTGTTGTTATAAAGGCACTTGTGCTTTTATCTCGTTTTCTCATTACATTATGTACAGAAAATGGCAATCGTTTTAATGAAATTGAATATTTCTTTCGCGTTGTCGCCATATTTATGTGATAAATATGCTTCCGTGAGTTACAATGAATAATTGATAAGAGTTTGCGGTAGACGATCTATCTCTTTGTTGATAGCGTAAATTATGGATGCAGATACATTGTTAAGGAGAGCCAAGTGTGTATTGGTATATTACAAAATACGTAAGTTTCATTACTATCTGCAGTATCTAGCTGAAATATTCGTATCTCAAAGGTGATTAAACTTTTTTTTTATCTTGTACACAACATGCGATGTTTGATTACCATCAGGCACATGCAGTTTAGTCACTCTTACACATAAAGGAAAAAACTTGGCAAGTTTTCACTTTCGAGTAAACTTTTCGTATTTTTGATAATTTATCAGGTTTTATTTGTAACTTTAACGTTTATCATACTTAGTCATTTATTAGAAGATTTGAATTTTATTTATTCACTTCATAGGTAGTAGGCTGTGAGTAGTGTTTCGTACGTTTAATCGAAATATATTAATTGATTGGGGTATCTTATATTCTTCACCATTTTAAGTAATACGCGTGTCCCAAATTTCGTGATGTTGGGTTGAAATCTTAACCCTTAAAAGCCTTTTTAAATCAAATTAAAAAATATATAAGTGTACCCTTTACTGTGTTTACTAATGGGGAAAAATAGTAAAAAAATATCAATGATATTTTTATATATTTATTTTGAAAAAAATATTTGGTAACATGTAAACAGTCAAATATTAAAATAAAATCGATTGTAGGCACCCAATGCGATTTATAACCCCGATATTGAATTTGAAACTTCAGGTATTTAAGGGTTAAAATTACAAGAGGTAACAGACAAACAAAATAAATCCACAACTATGTCTCATTCTTCTCATAAATCTCATTTCATTTTATTTCAACTAATAAACTCAGTTTCTCATTTATGATGTTAATAAGTTACAATTTCCAAAGATAGACAAATAGATGTTTACATACTTTTGGTGCATTATTCTATTCATGAATTTGACCTGCGTGAATGAGATCCATTATCATGGACCCCATTTACATCTCACAGACCCCCGTTTTATTTTCTTTTTCGCTGACACGAACCCCTTATAGGTCGTAATCGCCCCCTGGGTATTTATATATAGGTCACTTTGGGCATCAATATATCTGAAGTACTAAATAGGATAGGAACCAGAAATTATACCACCATCATTAACCACCATCATAAACCCATTGATCTCTACAGCTTTTATATAACTCGATTATTTTATAATGCAGCTTTAATTTTTATAATGGAATTATTAAAAATGCATTTATTAATGCGTTTTTTTCAATTAAAGCATTACACCCATATGTATAGGTTTATATATTGTATATTAGTTGATAATTTTATTTTTTAAATTCGATAATAGGTATTTTAATTAGTTTCCTTAATGTTTTAATTGTACAATATTATTATATCCGTCTGTACAACAATTAGTTGTATATAATAATATTGTCCGTTACTCTAAGTTTAAAAAGATTGCTCTCAGCAATAAGACCGCATTACTGTACTTATACAACTGTATCGCTACATTTATTAATTGTCTTGCTTATTCTCTATATTGTATAATGCAAATAATGTATACTCATTCATTCATTAATAAAATCAATAGAGAGTAAAAGAGATAATATGCAGGGCTATCTAATAGGACGTGACGATTTTTTAAAGAGCATAATAGAAGGAAATATAGAGGGCAGAAGTGGAAGGGGAAATCCGAGGAATAACTACATGGGACATATAAAGGAAACACTAGGTGTCATATCGTATAAGGAGCTCAAAGTTAAGACTTGGAGTGGAGCTGGCTGGAAGAAAATATATGAATTAGTTGCCCCTATAGGAGGAAACTCTTAAATAAAAAAAAATTAAAGTGTTAATAGTTAATATTTTCTCTTTCTTATCTTCTCTTATATCAGCTTTTAACTGTCCACTGCTGAACATAAGCCTCCCCCTAGGGAGATTTTGCCAGTAGTTGCCACGCTTGGAAGGCGGATTGGCAACCGTAGTTGGGCTTTGGAGATGTCTTAAGATGTGCTGTTGCTCATCCCTCGCCCTCCCTTAGCCGCCTCTTACGACACCCACGGGAAAGGAAGGGGTGGCCTATTCTATGCCAGGACCACACGGGGACCATAGTATATGTCTTTAAACATCTCAAGTGTACAAATATTGTCTAGTTACCATTTTATTATATTAATAAGATATTATGTGCATACTGTAAAAAAAAAAGAAAAATAATTATTGTTAGTTTTTATCACTATTTTTTTTTTATTGTTTCATAAGACTGACGTAACTTTTTATTTAAATATTTGTTTTCTTGCAGCGTGTTGGGAAAACTGCAAATCTATCGTTGACAGTTGATACACATACGGCTGGCCGATATATATGCCAAGCTTCCATCGAAGGATACCCTGAAATTCAGGCTGAGGCTTCAGTGTTTATTAAAGGTGAATTATAGTTTTATGTACCATAAGAACTATTACTATGTATGTGTACATATACAATTAACAAAATTAAGTTATAATATAAACATTATAAACAGGATGAAGAAAAAAAAAGAAATTAAAATTTAACTAGAAGATTACAGTTCATAAAATTTTCTGTAACGTTCAGCGTGTAAAAATGCTTGAAATTTCTTTAAATATGGGTTAAATTTGAATCAGTATCTTGTATGTAACATGATTATTCTCTTTCATTAAATTCTATTGAGTTTTTATAAGAGTATAATAAAATATCAGGTCATCATAAGGTTCAGAATCAAATACGAGTACGTACAAAAAGTCCTTTTGTGTAGCTCGGGGGTTGGATAGGTCGATAAAGCTATGACCTTGTGTTGGGAATGGACAAAAAGTCTAACTGGGGTTATTACCATGTAGAATAATACATGAAGTACAAGTTGACAACCTATTTTGTAACTTGACCTTGTAGTGTTATACAAATGACGCTAAAATGGTGAATTTATTAATGTAAAAATTGTATAGTTTCATTTCTTATTATAATGTCGTAGGCGAACTCAATTTACCTAAGTTTTTAATGAATAACAAGAAGTTATTCGGTACATATTACACAAATGACAAATTACAATACGTGAATTATAATACTTCAATTAAATGTAACAAAAAAAAAGCAATAAAAGTTTATAACTGTGCTGAAATGGTATATAGTTTTTTTTAATGATTGATAATGGAATGATAATCCCGGTTATGCTAACGGTATACGCTGGCGAGGCACCAGTCAGGGATGATAGGTGAGAATGAATAGGCAGGTCAGTTAGCCCATCGTGACGAATTTCACTAGAATTAACCACGATGTTTTTTTAGGGGGAATCCTGGTAGTCGACTTGATAGGGTGTATTGCTAGCAATGAGTCACTTAGACCTCATTATTAACAATTAATTAGACCTCATTACTAGCCATCCCTTTTCCCAAATAATACATCAATTAGAAATAATAAAAAATTAATAAAAGAGTTATAGCTGTGTTGAAATGATATCCAGTTTTTTTAATGCCTGATAATGGGCTAAAGTATACGCTGGCAGGCACAAGTTAGGGATGATAGGTGAGAATGAAAAGGCAGGTCAGTGAGCCCGCCGTGATGAATACACCTGGAATTCAGTACAAAGGTTTCTACGAAAAACCACGTGTAGGTCGACCTAATAGGGTATATTACTGACAGTGGGATTGGTAACCCGCATTACTAACAATCTCTTTCTTCATCTGATATCCAGTTCAGATTATTGCTAAGTAAAACGTGTGTTGACACAGTGTTTCAGTTGGAACCATTTAGCAAATTCTGGCTTTAGCGCGGACCCGGCTTTTTCCTCGCCTATTTATTATGCTAGAATACTTCTGTGACATAAAGAAAAACTAGTGTCATTTCCTACGATGATGATACAGTTATTATTTATTAATTTCATTTTTCTAGACACAAATTTATGTTTTACCATACTAATGCCATAGAGAACACATTGTAAATGCAGACTAAGATAAAATACAAATAATGTTGTCTTCTGTCCCTTTCCTTTACAAACAAATAGAAAGAGATAGAAGTATTTTTATGAACACTAAGACCTCGCCATTGCCATTCCATTTTCATCCATATTAAAAATAAAACACGTATTAATTGTATTTATATTTAATTGTAAACAGGACCACCAAAAATCCTGTCTAACCAAACTCAATTTGGCTCACAAGGGGACATTGTTAACATAGAATGCGCAGCGTTTTCAATACCCCGTATAGACAACATCATTTGGACGTTTGAAGGGAGAGAAATTGACACAATACACGATCAGGTAAGATTTGGAATAGTTCTTTTTAAGCCACCTCGAAAGGGAAAATGGAATCATTGTAGGATCAAGTCTGTCAAGACCCTTTTTCCCGAGAACGTGTGGAGGTATCAAGCTGAAATTAATGTTAAATACTTTAGTCTATAATTTCTTATAGCTGTGAAAAAAATACATTTCTAAGTCAACGCAATCAAAAAATATGGCCGATATTTTAACATTTGCGACAGAATTAAACTTTACTTAATGTCGACCAATAACCATGAAATTTGACAAGACGCAAATTTGTAATTACACCACAAGAAAAATATTTTACGATTTTTTAATTATAAAACATACGGATCCAGCGGTAAGCAAGTCCGACTCGCACTTGTCTGATTTTTTTTATTTTTGTGCAGGATTATGCATTCTTGGAAGATTTGCAACCAGGAGGTGTTGTTAATTCCACGTTGATTATTCGAGAGAGTCAATCAAGACACTTTGGCGTGTACAAATGCAATGTTTCGAATGACTATGGCAGTGATACTTTGGAGATAATACTAAAACCAAATAGTAAGTAAATTTTTACATGGTTTCTTTTATTTTGACTTATGGTAAAGATAACTAAAGATTTTGTATCAGAAAATGAAAACACCGACTTCAATCTTAGTTAAACGAGTTATTTCTATTTAAAAACTAATTACTAATAGTGTTTTGATAAATTTTCTGAGACCAATCTGTAAGTATATCCTTTCAAACAAAAAAAAAAGAAAGTTCTAAACCAGTTAATAAATAACGGAGTTATGAGTTAAACATACAAATACAACCAAATTAAGAATTTTTTCTTTTTTAAAGTCGGTTGAAAATATAATACCCATCTACTTTTCATCTATTTTGGAAAAAAGGTGCTATCTATACTTTTATGTTATTTTTTATATTATTTGTCTTTGACAATTATGAACTGATTTTTATAATAATTTTTACATTCGAAAGGAATAAATTATAAATTGTTCTATATTTATTTTGTGGTTTATGGGCACAGTTCTATATTTAAAATTATATTAAAGTGTTACTTCCGTATTCCAAATTCAAATATTTGATACGTTCTTTGGTACGTTTTATTCGTAATTTAAATTGAAATATTTTTAAAAATACTCTTAAGAATAGTAAATATTGATTTTGTTATAATTCACAATTGAAATTGTTTTTTTTTTTTCTGTGAAGCAAAAATTTCCCTAATCGTTAACAACAGCAATATTTGTGATGGATGCCATTGTTGTCCTGAACACATTGTCAAGCCTCATAATTACCGCGACGGCCATATGTTACCGTCAATGTACTGTCGATCACACGTAACCACACGCATCATTATTTTCGTGGGTGTTTATAAAATTATAAAAATATTTCATGCTAATTTTTGTTGTTTTTAAGATATTGAAGCGTGATAAATCCTATTAATAAATGAGAAAATATGTAACGTAAGATGGATGTCTTCTTTTCATGCAAAAACTACTGAATGGATTGGAATGACATTTGGCACATGGGAAGGTTATATCCTTACTTAACATATAGAATACATAGATTATATAGATAAAGCGAGCTTCAAAAACTGGTTCACTTTTCGGCAGTTAAATGTCCAATTCACAGACTCGTTTTTTTTAGTTGGTTATTAGTTAGTGTTCAATATACTTACGCATAAAATGTATCTTAAATTTTATATAATGAATAAAATGTGTGTTTACGTATTAAAACGATGCGGAAATTATAAGACAAAATAAATATAGAAGTTATAAAGGAATCACTCATAACTATTTGTCACGTAAAATTGTACGAAAAAGTTTTTCTTGAAGCATTTCTATGGAGACACTGTATATGTATATAATCTAAGATAGAATACTTTATGTACTAATTCACGTGGGTATAGTCACGAGATGCAACTAGTATCTAATAAAGTCCTTTTACATAATTATTTCCACGTAATCTTTAAATTGTTTAACTAGTAGTAGAAATTTGTTAATAATTAAAATCATAGAATCCAAGAAATTAATTTAATAAATCATTCATACATTATTTCGTTTGTTTAATAATCTGAGATAAGAATGACCAAGACATAAGAAAATAAACAAACATTGAATAATGTAAATGTAGGAATTATCTACAAAAGATGCTCTTTTACTTCGAATTTAACTTTTGTTTTATACCAAGAAGGTGGTAAACTAGCATATAGCCCGTCTAATGTTAAACGGTCACTGTAGCCTATGGACGCCTGCAACACTAGGGGTGTCATGTGCGCGTTGCCGCTTAACTTAACTTTAACGTAAAACTTGATAATGTAACATTATTTATTTATTTAAACTTTAGGGACCAAGGTCAAAAAATGTGGTACAAAACGCGGACTTAATGCTATAGGTATTTTTACCAGTTATCTTTTAGGATACGCAACGCTACTCGATGGTTTAAACGCCAATACTAAAATCGCAACCAATCTTTATTTATATCCCTAACAGTGTTCTAAATTATATTTATTATTGAATGTATATATCTGTTGCGTATGTGTAAATATATTATTGTGAGTTCAACGATTGCCTACCTATTTGATTTGTTTATCTTTTCTGCTTTTCCTTCAGCAATTGTCAACTACATAACTTAAGAAATTAATTTAGAAATTAATTTTTAAATAGAAATTAAAAACCTGTTATTGGCCATACTACATTGTTATAAAATATTTGTTACTTTTATTTCTAAATTGCTGTTGGTTTTTTAAAATAAATAAATATACTTATCTCAAGTGTTCTAATCTAAACTTGACGTCTATAGATTTGTTTTTTTATTTTTAGAAACATTCCCCTTATTGCCCGTTTTGTTTGGGGCGACATCTGGAACGATTATGGTGGCAGCTTTGGTGATGCTTATAATCCTATGTCAGAGGAAGCAGAGGAAGAATAAACAGACTCAAGTGACAGAGAAACCAGATGTGACAGTCACTGCTGAAGAATTATTTAAAGATAACGACAGGAATTCAAATATAAGCGATTTGAAGCTGGAACTGCGACAGGCTAATGGAAGTTGTGAAATTGTAAGTCTGATGTGGATATTTCTGTGTATATATATATATATATATATATATATATATATATATATATATATATATATATATATATATATATATATATTATATTATATTACTATTTTTTTTTAATACAACTTAGAATGGCAAACAAGCTGACGGCCCACCTGATGGAAAGTGGTAACCGTCGCCTATAGACATGAGCAGTACCATGGACATAACAGAGTATACTGTTTCGCCCATGATACCCCCCATGCGTTGCCATTCCTGAGGACTCAGATGTTATTCCTCTGTACCCTGAAAATTCACGCCATATCCCACCCTTCAAACCGAAACACAGCCATGCAAACACAACTGCTTTACGGTAGAAACACGAATGGGACAGAGGTACCCAAGCAATCGACTTTTGTACAAAGTCTCCCTCTGGAAAATAATATGAGTCATAAGCCTAACATTGATGTTTGTAAAGTGACTTACTTTCTGAATAATGCAAGCAAGCAAGTTTTTTCTTTTCATAATTTCATCATTATCGTTGAAAAGTAGAAAATATGTTTTTGTATTTTGACAAATATGTAAGTTTTCGTTTTCACAATGGACCTTTGTAGTTAAAAGTTAGAAAGTATGATTTGCATAGAACAGGTTTCTTACTACAAATAGAAAATAGCTAATTTAAAACTTCATTATCACAAGTACACGTGATCATGGCTGTTGTAACATTGTCACGGCAAGGTGTTGGAAAATGTTCACGATAATGTTTAACCAGTTTTTTTTTTTTTTAAGTAATAACTACCGGTTTAACTTACGTGTAATTATATCGAGAAAACTAGACTAGTGTCGGTATCAATTCTTTCAATAATCATAAGCGGCTGTGACACGATCGCAAGCCTGATTCAGATTATTGCGGCTGCTCATGATTAAGGATTACGAAATAATCCCGAAAGTAGTCGAGCTTTTTAGATCTAATTACATGTACGTTAAACTAGAAGTTATTATATTACAATAAAATATGTGCTTATGAAACTTATAACAATAAAATAGTTTTTACAATACTTTTTGTGTTAAAGTTAATGACATACAAATTAATGGGTCTATCTTTTTCTTATACAATTTATCTTAGTTATTTTAAAATTTTACCCTTTATATAAAAACTAGCTGACTCGGAAAACGTTGTCTTGCCATATACATTATTTCGAGAACTATACATGAAAATTTATCGTACTACAATTATTATATTTAATCGATTCCCATCTTGTAACTCTATTGCGGCATATAAAAATCGCGATTAAAAACAGAGGTTGATCGTAAAAGCGAAAAAATTTGAATTTGTATATATTTTTCAATGCTAAATCATAATAAAGTAAAAATAAAAATTTTGTCAAAAAATTAAAACAAAATTATTTAGGGGTGGATCACCCTTATCATTGAGGGATATGAAAAATAGATGTTGGCCGATTCTCAGACCTACCCAATATGCATACAAAATTTCATGTAAATCAGTAAAGTCGTTTCGGAGGAGTTTGTAACACACACCGCGACACGAGAATTTTATATATTAGATAGATATACACAATAACATGTCACGGATTTTGTAATGCCCACAGTACCCTTTTTATGCGTCGTTACTCCTAAGGACTAAAGGACTAAGGCTTAGGTAAACTGAACATACTCAATGGACACATTGAATATCTTGTTCACTGTTGAACATAAGTATCCTCCAAAAACTATCATAAGGAACAGGGCCGTTCCTTATGGCATTTTACTTAAGTGACATTTTAAGAAAAACGCCGCTACCCCTCCCTCGACCATTAAGGTCGAGGGAGGGGTAGCGGCGTTTTTCTCCTTTAGTCCTCCTCCTTTCCTTCCAGTTCCTGTAGTCGCCTTTTACGACAGCCACGGGAAAGGAAGGGGTGGCCCGTTCTATGTCAGGACCACAATGCAGTCATTTCTGATACAATTTATAAATTTTAAATTGCTTAAACATATTAATAAATTTTGACATAGATTTTTCCAATTTTAATTCTAAACGTTACATACAATATGTTAACAAAATACATTCCTTAAATTAATGAATTAATGAATTCTCAGTTTTAAATAAAAAAACATTTTTTTTTTATTTTGATATAAAAAAAATTCTACAAAAAAATCTGAGAGATTAACAAATACTAACACTAATCTTAAGGAAGAGATTCCATCAATTAACAAATAGTTAAAATACTTAAGCACTCCCATAAAACCATAAAAAAGGTCCATTGTTTCAAAACGAGAAAAACTAACTCACGCACCATGAACGTTATTATAAAGGGAACGTAACTAGAGTTCATTGTATTCATTATCTCCATAGGATTACTCCAACACGGGATCGGACAGCACATTATGTTCCAACGCCAAATTAGGCAGTGGGGTGCCCTTAGCTGGGGCCGTGCCACTGTCCTCCATAAATCAAAGTAGCACATACCAGCCGTATAGATATAGCAACGATTACACCGACCCAGCTTATGCTGACTGTTATAAGGTAAGATTTTTGTTTTTATTCAACTTAGAATGGCAAACAAGCTGACGACCCACCTGATGGAAAGTAGCAGCAGTCGCCTATAGACATGAGCAGTACCATGGATACAACAGAGTATACTTTTTCGCCTACGATACCCCCTAATATTAATTATTTTCAGTATAAATTTGTCTATGAAACATTCTGTTTTCATTGATGTACTTTTATATTTTTTTTATGTAACTTAGAATAGCAAACAAGCTGACGGCCCACCTGATTAAAAGTGACAACCGTCGCCTACAGACATGAGCAGTATCATGGACATAACAGACTATACTGTTTCACCCATGATACGCCCCATGCGTTACCATTCCTGAGGACTCTAGTGTTATTCCTCTGTACCCTGTAAATTCACGTCATATCCCACCCTTCGAACCGAAACATAGCCATGCAAACAAAACTGCTTCACGGTAGGAACACGAATGGGACAGAGAAATTATTTTCTGCTATATCAAAAATCAATTCAGTATATAATATATAATTCCAAAAAATAATGTTACGTTTCTTATGCAACTTACAATCGTAAATAAGCTGACGGCCCACCTGTGGGGTTAATTTTGAAATAAATTCCAATAGATAAATATTAGAATTAAGATGGTTCACACTTTCGAATTGCAGTCATCGTCATCATGCCAGCCTTTAATTGTCCACTACTGAACATAAGCCCCCTCTTGAGAGATTTTGCCGGTAATTATCACGCTTGGCAGGCGAATTGGCAACCGCAGTTTAATTTAGAGATCTTTTAAGAGGAACGCTGCTGCACAAACCTCAATCTTTAAGTTTCCATTGTTACCTTTTACGACGTCTACAGGAAAAGAAAGAGTTAGTCCGTTCTATGCCGGGACCACGACCTATATAATAATAATCTAAGTATATTAAACATAGAGTTTATTATTTCTTTTCAACTTAGAATTTATCTTATAAAGAATTTGCAAGGAAAAATAACGATAAGAATGTATCCTTGATATAAATAACATTGCTTAATTATTTAACGTTTTTAAATATCGAATTACTTTTAGTCCTTAATTTTTATACTTTTATTAATTAATTCTGACTTTATGTATAATTAAAAAAGATGTTTTCGACGTCCTAAATAATAATAAATTCAATGCTTAATTTCTATGTTCGCAGTTGAAATATTTTTCCGGAGTACCTACAACTGCGGAAAAATACTACGACGAACTTTTTACTGAGAACTAATTTAATATACTGTAAATAAATATTTTTATTCGTTTTAATGTAGCTATACTGTAAAGCAAATCATACCCCGAATTTTTAAATATAAATATCCCTGAAAAATATGTTACTAACATAATAAAATTGTAACTAAATTATGTCTGTAAATGGGGGGGGGGGGGCTTTATCAGTAGTTGCCATGCTTGGCGGGCGGGTTAGCAAACGTAAATAGATGTTAGGTGATGTTTTAAAGGGGAGACCGCTGCCCGTCCTCGACCATTACCACGTGTGGTCCTGGCATGGAATGGGCCATCCCTTCCTCTCTCGTGGGCGTGGTAAGAAACGACTAAGGGAACTTAATGCTCGAGGATGTCTAGCAGTATCCCTTAAAACATTTCAAATGCCTAACTGCGGTTGTCAACCCTGCCAAGCATGGCAACTGCTGGCAAAACACTCCAATAGAGGGTGGCCTATGTTCAGCAGTGGACAATTAAGAGCTAATTAAGAGTACGGCATGGTATGATGACATTTCATATATATAATTAATGAAGAAATAATGTTGTCAACAGGTAAATGGTTTCGGTAACGGATACCAGACGTACGTGCATTATGCGCACGATTACACGCCTGGATCATTGAGGGTCACTTCACCCACTGTGGGCAGTGACAAATTGACCCCCAATAGGTAAGTGATATTAGAATTATTTAGTAAATTTTATAAATAATAATAATAAGTACAGATAGCGATAAGAGTAAGAAAATAAGTGAAACAAATAAAATAAAAAAAAAAAAAACACAGACCAATATTCCTATCATGTATTTGAATGTTGCAGGTCAGTCAACGGTAGTTTATCAAGGGGTATAGATACCCCGTTAACGGTCCAATACAACCCGGGCAACGGATCTCAGAATAATTCCCTACAGCGCTCCACCAAGCGGCAGGACAGTAGTAATGCACTGAATAATTTGGGAGTACCCTCCGGGGAAGGTAACGCATCCATATATCGATCCAATACGACTCTTCACTATCGATACCTCCTAACAGACAACATCTTAATTTTGAATATATCCTAATATTTTTGTATTTTATGCATGAAAAATTATTAATTCACTTTTGCACCACCTACCCACTTCTTTATGTTCTCCTTTAACCAAAGGTTGTTTGTAAGAAATTGCCCTAGCGATAAGACCGCATAATGTACTTTTATGAGTATATTTCAATCTGTATTTATGTTACTGTATTTCACTTGAATTGTTCAATTGTCATAGTTTATTTTTGTTTATGGTGCAATAAAGAGTTAAATAAATATACAAATAAATAAATATTGAATATAATGAAACCCAAAAATAAAATAATTAATTTTGAGATAAATTCTCTGTATATATATTATATTTATATTAAAGTAAAAAAATATTTCTTTACGTAATATAGAAATATAGGTTAGGAAAAGTGTAAACAACTGTCCTGTTAAATGTCAGTTAGGAGGTTTTGGTGGTTAGACATCGGATAACTGTGTGTTCTGTTTGTTATTGACTATGTACTATTTATCAATTTAGTGTTGATATTGATATAAATTGTTTTAATAAAATAGTAAGATATTGACCGTAATTGAAGTATTTTGCATTTATATAAATAATATAAAGTATGTTTATAGCTATTATTATTATCCTCCCTTGCTAACAAGTAGTTAAACTAATCGTCGCATATATTGTTTAAGTGCAATAAAGAATATATATATATATATATATACTTACTGATACATGCAAGCAAAGCCGCAGGGCACAGCTAGTTATTTGATATATACCAGTTCTACTTTTAGGATAAGTCTAAAGATATCCAATTTTGATAAAGTTATAACTTTATAATATATTTTAAACTGTCTTCTATATAAATCCCCATTAGTCCTTACTAATACTTACTAAATAGATAGATAGATAAATTATTTGCATCATTCACACTCTGTAGAGAGGTCAATTCTGTACATGAAATATATTTCCAAAATAACTATCAGGGGGTGATTAGTGAACGATACTGATGCCAAAAATGCAATCAGTAAAATTTTTGTCTGTCTGTCTGTATGTTCGTTATAGAAACAAAAACTACTCGACAGATTTTAACGAAACTTGCTACAATTATTCTTCATACTCCTGGGCAAGATATAGTATACTTTTCATCACGCTACGATCAATAGGAGCAGAGCAGTGAAGGGAAATGTTGGGAAAACGGGAGAAGTTACTCCATTTTTAAGCTTCCGTCGCGTGTGCTGGCTTAATGGCCACTTTTTAAAATGTAAAAATGTCCACCCGTGCGACGCCGGGACGGGCCGCTAGTATACGAATAAAATCACATTTATAATACTAAATTGAGTTTGCTTTTTGCCTCATAGCATTTTGACAGCTGAACCAATATAATGCCATTTAGTATACAGATATTTTTTGTATGGGTGAAAATGGTATGGTAACCCCGCCTGCGCTAACGGGATACGCTGGCGGAGCACCAGTGAAAGGTGATAGATGAGAATGAAAACAGGCCAGTTAGCCCATCACGATGAATTCATCAGGAATTAACCGTGATAGTTTACAGGGGGAACCGCGAGGTCGACTTGGTTGGGTATATTGCTAGCAATGGGATTCTCAGTCTCCATTACTAACAATCCCTTTCCCCCCCGACCTGACAGGGTATATAGCTTTAGGTTTACTCCTAGTTTAGTTTAATCCTTATTAGTAATAATTCCTTCTCCCCCCCCCCCCCAGTATACACATATTGTAAGGAATAGAGAAGTACATAGGCTATATTAATTTTCATCCTGGTCAGTGACCACGTTCCCGTCACTCTCTTCAAATATTGTTGTCACTGAGTAGATTAAATTGTATAATTATGTCATGTTGCATAATTTACGACAATCCATTAAATTTTCACTGTTGGAAATGGATGTCTCTTCATAAGGAGGATAATAACCTGCTGTTACTATGGTGACCAAGCGGATTGGCTTTATTTCGACTTTTCCGTATCTTACATATATATATATATATATATATATATATATATATATATATATATATATATATATATATATATATATATTACAGTGTGTATTGGTTTGTTTCCTTTCAACCGACTTCAAAAAGAGAGTGTTTTTCAATTCAATTGTATTTTTTTACTATATATATATATATATTTGTAACAGGGGTCAAAAACTAGTAGTCAAAATTTACCTATTACTCCAAATGGACTTGAAAGGGTTTATTTATATTTTTAAAGCCCAATATTCATATTAATGTAATAACTACCCGTTTAACTTATATGTAATTAGGTCGGAAAAGGCTCGAGCTCATATCACAGTTGCTCATGACTAAGGATCACGAATTGATCCCGAAACTAGTCGAGACTTTTCGATTTAATTACATGTAAGTTAAACCAGTAGTTATTACATTAAAATATGATATTTATTTATTTATGGTATATACTGTTTTTTTTTTGGTAACGATCAATAGTATATTTGTCTTTCTTGACACAGCTAATAGAATACCAAATGGGGGTATAATACAAGGCGTGGATGTAAGATATGCTGCCACCTACGGCAATCCACATTTGAGAACGGGCGGTGGGCTCGGTTTCGCTACTACAGTGAATACAGCAAAACCGGCTTCCACTCCTGCACCGCCACCATATTCTTCAGTCAGAAGTTCTGTGGTGATACCATCAGGTAAGTTATTTATTATTTCTTCTTACTAATCTTACTTCTTACTAATATAATAAAATTGCAAGTAAACGATGTCTATACATGGGGGATGTTTAAGAAAATTTTATAGGAGCGGTCTTAAGACTGATAGATGCTAAAACAATACCTTTTAGAAATTGTGTTTGTTTGTCTGTCTGCGTGATTGTTCCGGCATCACGCAAAAACTACTTCACCAAATTATTCGCGGTTAACACAAATACATTTTTAAAGGTCCAACTTCAAATTAGTGGGTCCACTCTTGAATTTAATGGCAACGTCAATCCAATCTATTGCTAATGAAAATTTTGTACTGCACTCATAAAATCATCATCATCATCATCATATCAGCCTTTAACTGTTCACTGCTGAACATAAGGGGGGGGGGGGGTTGCGAGTAGTTGGCACACTTGGCAGGCGGATTGGCAACTTCAGACTTGCTTTAAAGATGTTTCAAAAGGGACGCTGTTGCCAATCCTGTGCCCTCTCTTAGTCGGTTCTTACGACACCCACGGGAAAGCAAGGGATGGCATTCTATGCCGGGACTACATGGCCATGTAATACCTCATGAAATAACAATTAGAAATTAAGTTAGAATTCGAATCAGTTTGCGATATTTTGTATGGCAACACTAATATGAATCTATCAGAACAATATGGAACCATTAAGTCGCTAGTATTGTAATTCAAAAGTGCCAATTCCAATATCGATCTATAAGAATAGGTTCTTCAAAAGGGGGTAAAGAGGTTTCTTCAGGGTCGGCAACGCACGCGTAATACCTCTGGTATTGCTGGTGTTCATAGGCTACGGTAACCACTTACCATCAGGTGGGCCGTATGCTTGTTTGCCACCTCTGTGGTATAAAAAAAAAGAATTTTAAGAGTAACCCCACTGGTGTATGTTTTACCTTGATAAACAATCTAAAAATAGTATATTTAATTAGTTAGCGGAATACATCGAGTTAAACTAACTCTATTTGTAACTGTATCTGATACGAGTACTACATAGTAAACGAGTTAGTAATATCTAATTGGATTATTCAAGTTTCCCAGGATTTCCTTTTCTGACTCTACGTCAACAGTGGCAGTTCATAGCTTAACGTATCATTCGAAGTACGGGGCTTACATAATCAAATTAATACCATTCCTGGAATCTGGATGTGTAATGTATATTATATGGTCACCCAATTAGCAAGTGGCTGACTTCAATGCAATTAAATCTAGTTCATCAACAATCGCTTTCGTGCACAACTGAGATTATGCATTCATGTAATTCTGTTAATCAATCATTCTATACCTTTCCTTCAGCTTCTCAAAGGTTAACTATAATAGATAAATCCACCATTATAGATTAATTCTTTTTAACATGTCCAGTTTTTTTTATACCGTAAAGATGGCAAGACATCGTACAGCTCGTCTGATGGTAAACGTTTATTGTAGCCTCTGAACGCCTCCAATACTATGGGAGTCACGTACACGTTGCCGACCCTGAGGAAATATTAATATACCCTTTTTGAAAACCCCCATACTATAGTATCTAGGGAAACCCTCAGCAGGAAGCTCATTTCTCAGCGTGAACGTTCGCGGGAAAAATCTTTTGAAACTACACTGTACATGATCATCTAAGTCCAATACAAAGTACGTACAGTAAGGATTTTATAATATAATAGACTTTCTTGGCATCAGAGAACGTCATTCTCACTCGAATAGGATCATCATTTCAGCCTTTCACTTTGTAAATAATCTCCCACAACTCCAATAATAGATAAAAAGAAACGATTGAGTTTGAGAAGATTTGATTTTGAAGATTGAGTTTGAGTTTGATCAATTGAATTTAGAGATAAAAAGAACAAATGAGTGATCTACGTCTATCGATATTCTGCAGCATATTTGAATTTATCGTGTCATATAGGATGGGATCACTCTTTTTTATTTGTACAGGATGGCCACTCGAGAATTTTTCTCCTCATCTGTTGACCATTCTTCATATATAATATTAGTATTTACTTCTGTGTATATTTCTTTGGCTATGTAGGTCACTTCCGTGTGTTGATTCTTCCGAGTTTATCAATCTTTTGTACAATATGTTTAAATCGTATTTTTTTGTAATTGTAAACAATTGTAATTCTAATTCATTGTTAAAAATTGGTAACAATTATAATTGTAATTGTTTATTAATTCTCAACAATTGTAATTCTATATAAATTTTTTAACAATGCCCATATACATATATATACATGCACAACGGAAATTAGAATGAAATTTGGGATTAATTTGAAACAATTATCGGAAACAACGAACACAACAAATTTATTAAATTCTCGTTGTGCGTATAAAATAGACATTGTAATTCTCATTAACAGGTACATCGTCGCATTCAATAACATCACCAACAAGTCTCGCATCACCGCAGTGTACTACGAGCCCTATCACCACTTCTACAATGTCTACAGATAGTACACAGCCAGCGGCGGTAAGTTTTAATTTGCTCAATTACGGCGAAGCCTAAGAGGTATATGACGGTTTTTTTTTTAATAAAATTTTAGAGTGATCGATATAAAATAACCACTCTGCTTGTCTTGGTAATATTATATTTAACAATTCCATTCGCTTACACGTTCAAAAAACGACTGCTCTTTCTAAAAGACCGTTTAGGCCGCCATTTTAATATTCATTGATCACTACCACCGAGTCGTTGAATGACTAGTACTTGTTTTATTTATTATTATGAAAATATATTGATTATATTTTATAAAAAAATGTATATAAAATTATTAAATATGAAAATATAATGTTTATAATGTGATTTAGATTTATTAATTGATGATTTTTTAAACATATTTAAACTAAACATTGATTTGATTTAAGTAGGCAAAAGAATCACTGACAAAATGGCAGTTCATATTAGACACTGATTAACATAATCTTACATGAAAGATAATAGAATGGCAACTCCGTCGCCTAGTGGAATACCAGTAACAGGTAGGTGAGGATGAAGTCAGGTCAGTTGATCTAACGTGAGAAATTCAATAAGAATTAACCAAAATGGCTTGAGTTTGAAAAGTAGTCGCGTCATATTTGTTCATGCTTGATAAATGAAACTGAAAATTACTGAATTTACCTTTTATTTCTTGTAACACACTAACAAGTATTGTGAATAAACAATATCAAATTAATTATATCTTTATAATTTACTAAATAACAGATATATAATCGCAGAGACACGCTCGCTTGATCAAGAGCCGAACGGAAGAGAAATCAAATTAAAGACAATCGTAGATAGATAGATAGATACTCTTTATTGTTTCCTCCAAAAGATTACAATAGTAAACTTATTATAAATATAAATAATTACAAAAAATAATCACAATGAGAAAACAACAAAAAATACTAGATCATAAATTTGACCATAAGAAACTGAAATCCTGCCTATTAGAAATAAGGTATGATCAAATGAACTGAATATAAAAATGAGATTTATACATGTTGAAGCATATAATATTGCGTAGACAATATCAGTATTTTTTTTTGCAACACAGAGGGCAAACGAACATGCGGCTCACCTGATGGTAAGTGACTACCGCCGCCCATGATCAACCGCAACACCAACAGCATTGCAGGTGTGCTGCCGGCCTTTTAAAAAGGAACATGCTCTTTATGAGAGGTTCATTAGAATTTATTTGTCCAGGTTGGCGTAGCTACATCATCTGCTACTCCGCAGTCCCCTAGCGCTCATTATATATTAGCTCCGTCAAATAGAACGATAAGTAATGCTACTGTTACCAAAAAAGGTAAGTTGTTAAAAAATTTTCGATATCCTACACAAATTGCCATAATATTAAAAAAAAAAATAGATTTAAATACTTCTCAGGAATGAAACCTTTTTACGTGGATTGATGCTTGCTGAACAGGCATTTCGCAGTGAGGAAATAATGTTAATGGACTAGTACATTTCTTGGACGATTTATACGAAATTAATTTTATATCGTATATCATAACTAATAAGGTTGAATTTGAGATTACACCCGCGTAAAGCAACATTAGTGTTAAAAAATCAAAAGTGCTTCACTTTTTAAATTACTTTTGTATAATATCGCGAAGCATACGCGATATTTTGGATAAATTTAATCATTATTTTTTATTAATTAATTTATTTTTTATTTTTTAAGGAAGCTTGCAGTTGTAATAACTTAATAATTAACTATATATACTACCACATATAATTAACGAAAATTGAATTACAGTTTAGATAATTAATAAATTGTAATCAAAAGGATTCCAATATTGTTACTCTCGTGATTGTTTTTTTTTAATTAACCTTAATATAAAATTTAATACTATTGTCGGAAACGACTAACATAAAATATGAAAATATAAAAAGTTCATAAAATTCCCGTAATTTTTTTAATTTATGAATACAAAAGTACTTTTAACGGTTAAAAGCTTGGATGCAACGTTATGTGTATAAGAGAAACCGATTTCAATGTTAGATTCAGTGCATTATTTATTTTCAGGTAACGGACACCAGACACCATTAGCGACTCACGTATAACCAATGTTGAAAGGTGTCATTTAAAAAAAAAACTATTGACTATTTTTACTTATTATAAACAAAGTGACACTTGTACGATCTCTCATGTAACATAGTGCGGTTTTTGCAAGACAGTCTAATATAATAGGCTAACATGGTGAAACTTCTTGACTCTTCTAGAAGAGAACGTGTTGTGAGATTTTGAATGTTTCTTTCGTATTTATGTACTTTTTCTTCTGATGTAATATCGTTAAGTAAGTAAAATTAATCGCGAGTTAATGTATTACTCTGTACTATGATACAAAATGGCTTTATAAGGGGATTGTCACACTGTCATATATTTATATAGGATCATATTAATAACAATTATTAAGCAACGACATACTTTCAATATCAAATCATATCATTGTAAAGTTTTATAATATGTAGTTTAGAAATAAATGGAGAGAATAATTTTATTTAATTTGTATATAATTATAGCTCGTCATAGATTGACATGATATGATCCTATATATTTATAATAAACGTGATAGTGTAATAAGTACATAACAATTATCAACTACAAGAAAGGTCTCAAAAATATGTTTTAATTGGTTAAATCTAAAAAAACTGTTTTATATAAGTTGCAGTTAAATTGATATTAAAACATGTAAAAGACTAGATTTTTAACCTTACCTTAATTGACAGTTAACTGCGTATTCCTTGTAACTGTAACAAAATTTCACAAAAGAAATAAATACTCGTAGGTAATTAATTAAAAATTGTGTCCCATAAACAAATCGCCTTCAATTATGACAAATTTATTTTGATTTAAAAACTAAACTGCTGAACCGATTTGGATAAATTTTCTACGGGACCAATTTGTAAGTATATCCTTACAGATAAAATAAAAAAAAATTCAAATCGGTTTAGAATTGACGAAGTTATGGAGTGACCAACATAAAAAAAATCTGAATTTAGAATTTCTTTTTTGAAATCGGTTAAAAACATTCTAAATGCTTTCCTATTTTGAATGAAAGGAAAACATCCTTGGTTTTAATATTAAATATAAATCAAATAAAAAAGACTTCTCATAGGAATCTAAAAATATATTATTTAATTTAATACTTGGATATAAACAATTGATCTTGTAATAATATGCCCAAGCATTTAATAATGTTTGTTTTATATTTAATTTAGACCTCGGTCTGTCGAGATTATCTTTCTTCGATATTGTGTTAATAAATTCTAGGTATCTTGAACATAATGAGCGGTTTAATTCTCAATGAAAACAATAATGGGTGAGTAATCATAGAATTTTTATGAAATGAAATTATTCTAAGAATTTTAATACGAAGAAATATTACGCTTCCAATTTTAAAATACACGGAATGCGGAGTTACTTGGTAGCAAATAATACGTTATTAGATTGATAATTTTATTTTTTATTATTCAATGCTTGTTTATAATACTTTATATAGGTCATTTTTTTTTCTATTACCTCAATTTATTTATTACGTATTTCGGTAATCGTGTAACTGGTTTTTTTTGTGAGATTCTATTGTGGTTGATAAATGTTTTGTAAATAAGTTTAATTCAAGTAAATGTTGAAATGTTTTTCAAATGATATGGAATGTATATGTTTATTTAATTTAATCATGTTATTATTTATATTATTATTTACTACATTATTTCTACTGAGAAATTCATAGATAAAATATAGTTATCTTTAATATCTTGCATTGAAGTTAATTTCTACTTTAGATTATCTAGTATCCGTTAAAAAAAGAGATATATTTTACTTATTTATACATTATATATGAAACGGTTAAATACTTAGTCATTATTATTTTTAAATTGCTTTTAACTGTTATAGAAATCAATGAATGAAAATTAAAAATGCGATTAAATACTATTTTAATCTAATAACTGGCGGTTTAACTTATATGTAGTTTGCTAGAGAAAGCTCGATTAGTTTAGTGGCCATCCAGAACCTTTAGTGTTTAACAGCCAAAGGTCTCCAAACAACATTGTCCTTATCTGTGTCGGTGTCTCGAACGCCTAAAGCTCGTGCTCAGCAAGCCTAGGCGCGAAGTAACAACCACTCAAGAGCAAGGCTCCCGGGTGGTCTCGAAACTAGTTAAGCTTTCTCGATCAAATTACATAAAAGTTAAACCTGTAGTTATTACATTAAAATATAATATATAATTATGAAAATTTTAACAATAATGTTTTCTATGCTTAAAATAAATGTTACAAAACAAATGATTTTAATCAAAACAAGTTTGATTGAAAGAACAAAGCCAAGGTGAAAATATTGCGTGTACTACCGTCTTATATACAAATTATTCATACAAAAGAAAAATCTTGATCTAGACCTTTGTTAATTGAACAAAGCTTAATTCTGCACTAAATCGTACTAAAGTGTACATAGTACTAAATTGTATATGCACGAAATTTATTTGAAAAGACCAAAAAGTATAGATGGATCTCAAAAAACATTTTTATTTTACCATCCCATTAATAACCCTTCAATATTGAAATATATAATTGAATTAAAGTGATCAATATATGATAAATAAGTATTATATAACAGACGACATTCGACATGACTTATTAAAATAATTAATTGAAACGTTTATATATATATATACTGAGATTTTCTCTGAAAATTACAATCCATCTTTCTTTACATAAGTCAGTATGATAAAAGAATGATGTCAATTTTAAACTATCCAACTGAGACTGTTCTTGTTGATAGATATATTAAAAATTTTGGTATTGTATATAAAATTGGTGGTCTTACCATTTGTAACTATTACTAAATGTATCTATTTGTTTGTTTATATGTCGCTTTGCTATTATCTGTATAATAATTTCCATCGAAAATTAAAACGGATGCATAAGTCTGTTTGAAATGATTTAATTTTTCTATGTCTTTTTTATTAATTTATCTGACCCATCTATTAAATAAGTACTAAGCAATAGAATGTGAGCGTCAACGACCTCGTATTGTTCCAAATGGCCTCAAAATATAAATGGTTCTAATTCTGTAATAAAATCTATATTTTGAAAAATAATTATTTTAAATTGAAAATATACAGTTTAATGAAATATATTATAAAACTTAATTTGTATTTTTTTTTTGTTTTTATAGTGGTAATTTTTTTATAACAATTGCAAGGAAAGGATTTCTTGTTTTCATTTTAGAGTTTCCTCTTGTCGGTGCAATTAATTCATGCATAAGGAAAGGATTGCTTGCATAAAATTTTCTAGTAGTAAATTTACAATGTATATGCTTCAGGTGTTTAATATAAAACACCTACTTTATTTAATAATAGATAATTATGTATTACAGAAAAATGTAACAATTTAAGACACAGTGATTTATTTACAAAACTGTTTACCACTATAAAGTATATACAGTTTGTACACATGAAAAGTACTCTCGGTTAAACCGTGCGATGACAAGATCAATTAATTGTATGTATCCAAAATGGTTTTCATTATTTGATCCGGCTTTCTTGAAAAAAAAAAAAGAAATCAGTTTCGTAAATATCTGTCGTTTTTGGAATTTCAAATGTTATGCACATTTTATTACACTGTGCTCTGAAATCCTTTGAATTCATATTAAAATGTTGAAAAGTATTTTAGAATTTTAGATAAAAGTTAATTCAAATATTAATTATATGGATATTTACACTTATTTGCCATTTGATTATAAACTGTTCCTAATTTTTTTTTATTCGACATAAAAAATAAAATACTGTTCTGTAAAAATATTATTCTGTTACGTAGCCTATTTATTACTTTTACTTTATTTTTTAAATCATTATATCTTTTAGAAATTACTTTTAATTGTATATTTATCAGATTTTATAGAATCGTAATTCTCACGAAAATATATATATATATATATATATATTTTAGATTGTTATTAATTAAGCTTTAATTCAATAATTTAATGACTATAGCGTGCCATTTTCATATCTCATACATATCCACGTTTTATACTAAAATTACATTACAATATATCCTTCAATTTAGCACAAATTTCAGATCTTCCGTTTGTTTTCACAATTATGTCAATTTTAGATTTATTTTAAAATGTCTTAGAGGCAATTTTTTTTATACTCTAAGATAAATATTTATCAAATAACATTTCAATTATTATTATAATAATATATAATATATAGTTTAAAAATTATTTACAGCTTGTCACTAATGCTCAATAAACGAAATGTTTTTTTAGAAATTTCGATCTAAGACTGATTAGAGTAACCTACATAAACACTTACAGGTCTATTATTTCTTGAAATGAAATTATTAAATTGTCATATTATATATTGTGGATGAATATAGAATCAAATAATATGTTAATATTATATAAATATCTGTATTATTATATGTTTGGTGACAGTTAATTTTTAAACTTTTAAACTTTCGCGTTGTTTACACATATTTTAAATACACAATAGGAACTTATCGCGATGTAAAAGCTTTTACAGGTAAATAGTACCTACATACCTGCTTCTTTATCACCGACGTTTCGACGTGGATTTCACCATGTCGTGGTCACGACAGAACTGAAGTGAGTGGCGTCTTCGTCTGAAACATAAAGAAGAAGGTATGTAAGTATTATTTACCTGTAAAAGTTTTTATATCGCCTTAAGTCCCGATTGTGTGTTTAAAATATGTCTGATAACACTAATAACTTGTTACAACGACTAAAGTGCCATGAAGTGGCAATTTCCATAGATTTACCATAGACCGATCGTACAAAACAACGTTTCCCAATATTTACTAATTATATAAATGTAAAAGTGAATTTGTTTATTTGTTACATTTTCCATTTAGTTTAATCAAATGTCATTAAATTTAGTATACGTTATAGTATTGGCATTAAAAAGTAGGCAAATTTTTAAATGCGTGTAAAATTTTGTTATTTTTAACAAGTACTCATATTTATGACCGAAATCGATATCGAAACTTATTGATTAAATTAATTTTGTATTAACAATTTGCGTCACCACCACTCATGATTAAGGGTTCTGGATAACCCCAAAACTAATTGAACGTTCTCAGTAAAAATTCACTTAAGTCTGTCAGGTTATTTTTATATATTAACTGTCCGCTGCTGAACATAGGCCTCCCCGATAAGGGGCGTTTTGTCAGTAATTGTATCGCTTAGCAGGCAGGTTGGCAACCGTAGTTAGGCTTTGGTGATGTTTTAAGAGAGATACTACTGTCCTTTTTTTCGACCATTAAGTCCTCTTAGTTGTCTCTTGCAATACTCATGGAAAAGTAAGTAATCCATTCTACGACGGCCACACGGCATTTCATAATGTATCTATCTAAGTTAATCCTTTTATATAAAATATAAAAATTGTAAGTCTTATTTAGAAGAAAGTTAAAAAAAAAAACGGTTTCTCCCAATTGAATAAATTCGTAATAAACCGTTAATAGAGAAAGTATCAAGATTATAAATGCGACCAATTATCAACGTGTGTAACTTATGACCGTAACAATTTATAATTGTTTCACATAATAATCACAGATATTTTTAAATTTAACGCTCAGATTATGAAATGAACTCTCTGTCGTGCTTCTACTAAGAAACTACAGCATGGGATTCTTTAAAAAAGCGGTGAAGAGGCGTCTTCAGGGTCGGCAACGCGCGCGTAATGCCCCTGGTATTGCAGGCGTTTAAAGGCTACGGTAACCGCTTACCATTATGTGGGCTGTATGCTTGTTTACCACTTCAGTATTAATATCTGAGTCCTCAGGAATGGCAACGCATGGGAGGTATCATGGGCGAAACAGTATTTTTTTTTTTTTTTTTTTTTTTTTTATACTACTTAGAATGGCAAACAAGCTGACGGCCCACCTGATGGAAAGTAGTAACCGTCGCCTATAGACATGAGCAGTACCATGGACATAATAGAGTATACTCTGTTATGTCCGTGGTACTGCTCATGTCTATAGGCGACGGTTACCATTTTCCATTAGGTGGTCTGTCAGCTTGTTTGCTATTCTAAGCTGCATATAAAAAAATACAATTCCTATCAAATGCAATTTATTAATTATAGTTAAAATAATATTTTTAAAGGCGAATATAATTATCAATCGATCGTTATCAATGATTGAATACCAAGCATATACTTGCTGTTGAGTTCGAAGAAACCGCCTCAACCTTGATGATATTGATTTTTTTATATCACCTAACAACAACAGGCTGGAAATTAATGATGATTGTAATTTACTTGTAATCAATTATGATCGCGGGAAATAGCATTTTGAGCTTTATTCTTTATTCATAATTGTATTTCAAAATAAAACTTCAGTTGTTATAATTAATAACGTTATTTCATATAGCATAGTCAGGCCCGCGCTAGCGTCACAGCTGCACATGACTAAGGGTCACGAATTAATTTTAAAATTAGTCAATGTAACACGCAATTAAGTTTAAAATCGTTATTACATTAAAATATCGTATATTTGTTTCGATTGAATAAAAACCGAAAAAAGAGCAATTGGATAGTCTTACAGCATAACTCTCTTAAAATTTGTGTGCATATATATATATATATATATATATATATATAAAATATTGGTAATTTTAATTGGTTACTTATACAATGTATACTTACGAAATGGACTAAAACAGAAAAAAAATACTGTATTTTATTTTTGTTATATTTACACTAATAGTTAATTAATATTATAATAATATTAACAGATTCTATATTCATCTATAAAATATTAAAAAAAGAAAAACAGTTATTTGTTAACATAATTTATCCTTCATTCTTATGGCCTAGTTATAAATTTTATAGAATATCAAAAATAGTCGCTTAGGGTCTCATCCGTCTTTAATGTAAAAATAACGGCTTACAGTTTTATGGTTCCTTCGAAAATATACAATTTATTAATAGGACGTCGAATTTTGTTAGAGAATTAATTAATACACAATATATTTAGTGTGTATAATATGTTTTCAATGTATTATGTTTTTATTAAGTTCGGATCAAACAGGTGCGGACTAATTACAAAAGGTAAATTGCTTATATAAGCGTAAAGAGTTGCGCAATATTATTATATATTTTTTTTATTGTGTATATTTTAATGTAGTCTCGTCTTGTTTACGTAGGTACAGGTATGTAGTTTAGAAATAATAATAAAAGATTCCGAAAATTAATTACAATAATTACAATAATAGACAAAAACATATAGGAAAAATTTGGTGTCGTGTCGTATTAAGAGATAAAGAGACAACGAAAATCATGGTGAATGTAAAGAGCGTCACTGGTGAGAGCATACCTCTTATATAATCTCTTATATATACAATAAAAAAAAATTGCCACATAGATTAAGTGAAAATGAATTCGTTGCAATCGTTACAGTACATGATATTCTTATGTTCATAGTCTTTTGTATTTTATCATCTATCTACATATATAATCGGAACAAGTTTTAAATATATTTTTTATTATTTTCTTAATTATAAAAATAAATAAATAAATGAAACAATCACTATTTACATAGCTAGTTTATAATTAAATTGTAATTTTCGTATACATCACTAATAAATACTAAATGTTGAGTTTCTTGCGGGCTTTTCTCAACAGAAAACTACTTTCCGAACTCTGCAGTAGATTTAAATAAAATGACGATTGAAAAGTGCTTGTAAACAAGTCTATTTGAATAAAAATGTTTTAGATTGAATTGAACTGAAAAATCAGCACTTATAATTTAGTACGCTCCTGTTTGGTCAGATCAGATACATCATTTTTTTTTTATAATATAAAATATATAATAATTAGTGACACATAAAACATATAATACTTTAGTGTTTTATTTTTTTTATTAGTATAATTAGCATGTGAAAAATAAAGCTGCTTACATACTTGCGTTAATGATAGTAAATGTGTAGGATGGTTTACGGAGAGTCAGTATATCAAGTAATATTATTATGCTAGATATAAAATTATTTTTTCTGTGATAACTAGATTAAAGTGTTTTTGTAAATATGCTATAATTACTACGAGTGTTTAATAAGAGATTGTATTAATAAAATACTTATAAAGCTTTTGACTTTGAACTACAGTAGGCGTGGGTAATATCGGTAGCATTCCGATATCTATATATTGGGTTTCTCTTGATATCGATGGTGGTTTTCGACTATACCAATCGTATATCTATATTCATTTCGATTGAGTGCTTTATTTAGATATTATATGTATATTAGAGAACTGATATTTAACATATCCGTTATTGGGCCAATATATAGGTATCGTAACTATATGATATAGATATTGCTGTATATTACCCATTCCTAAACTTCAGCGAATAGTTGATGATTTTTGGAGTGAGAATCTAGATAGTGTTATGGAATGAAGAATGTTTAAAACTTGTAAATAATTACATTGTAAATATACTTTTCTAAATAAAACCAAACTTTGGCCTATGTACTTTGATTTTTATTGCTACATAATTATTTGTTAATTAAAAATTTTGATAAAAATTTGATATAATTGTGATAAAACTAGTTGTTTTGATTCAAAAACTAAACTATTGAAACGTTTTTGTAAAAATATCTATGGGACCAATCTGTAAGTAAGAACTTTCCAAATCGGTTTCGAATTGATGGAGTTATAAGGTAAGAAACATGAAAAAATACAAACGAATTGAGAATATATTTCGTTTTGATGTGAGTCAAAAATTACATTACATTTGTTTTTATACCAGATGTCTTAAACATTTTTTGTATAATAAAATTTTTAGTATTATTCTAATAATAATTAAAGAAGCTACTCTATTTTTTTGGCTTCACGCCAGCTAATTTACCTCACTTCATACCCATTTGTCATTAAAAATATTATAAATGTTAAAGTGAGTTTGTTTGTTTTTTTTTCCATATAAAATTACAGAAACCATATTAGGTATTGGATATTCATATATTATATAGACATAGATGTAAAAAGCCATACAGAGAGATTTGAAAGCCATGTGATGTTCACGTCCCAGTCTTAGAAGATAAGAGGCCTTGAATTCTATATTGGCTAATGAGACAAGAAAAGGGTTTTAGCACAAGTTCATTTTAGCAATTTTGATGGTATTTCCAATGTTTCAAAGATATTAAAAAATATAGCCAATTTTACACTGCATTTGATTACCAATAACGTTGATAAATCCATATTATTTTACAAAATGCAACACACTTATCGTCATTCAGGTAAGAAAGTGCAAATTTTCTAGATTTAGAATAACTTTTTATGGCAACATTAATTTGATGTTTTTATTTTTATACAGCATTGAATAGCAAACAAGCTAACAGCTCACATGATGGAGAGTGGTAACCATTGTCTGTAGACATGAACAGCACCATAGATACTACAAAATATATTATGTTGTCCATGGAATCTGTTATACGTTTTCAATAATATAATCATATAATTTCACTACCATATCCCATTCATTCAAACACAATTATGCAAATACAGTGAATTGTATCTAATTATTTAATCCAAAATGAAAACTGTGCATTATTTGTGCAAGTCTGTACTCTTAGGAGCTTCAAATGCCATGATTTCATTAAAAATAATCTAGAAACAATATACCAGTGGCAATAATTCGCTCTCGATTTATTAGCCATTCGATCTCTATCTATAAACAAAGTATAAAATCCATGAGTGATGGAGAAGAATGGTTCTCCAATGTTAATTTCGTACAACTAAATTTAAAGTGAGATAACCCTTAAATAGAACGACGATCTCAAGTGTTGCAGGGACTCCTCACATGCATCGACTATGGTGCAGGCTACGACTATTCCTTATGGCAGTCTATTTAGAAGCCCTGTCCAATAGTGGACGATGATAATTCAAGGTAGGTAACGCAAATAACTTGATATATCAAATTTAATTAATGATCGAATGTTAAAATTTTGCGGAAAGCAAAGAAAATTTTCTGGATATATTTAAGAGCGTTATTACACTGTCAAAAACATGTAAAAAATTATTAACAATATAAATGTTCTCTTTCACATAAAAATTACTGAACAGATTTAAATGAAATTTGATACACGTATCGGTTATAATCTAACTTAATAGATAGGATACTTTATATATTCACTGATTCAAATAATTAAAGCCACGAGGTGCAGCTCATTCATTTGTTTTTATTCACGCTAATCTCCAAAACAGCTCTATTTTAATAAAACTCTGTGAATGTATATTGTTTATTCCAAATTGTGAGATGGTATAGTTTTAATACCGATAAAAAATGGACCCAGAATGTTTCAAAGAAGTGCAAACAATATTTGTCAGATCAACTAGTAAAATACAGTTATATTTTTTTTTATATACAACTTAGAATGGCAAACAAGCCGACGGCCCATCTGATGGAAAGTGACAACCGTCACCTATAGACATGAGCAGTACCATGGACATAACAGAGTATACTGTTTCGCCCATGATACCCTCCATGCGTTGCCATTCCTGAGGACTCAGGTGTTATTCCTCTGTACCCTGTAAATTCACGCCATATTCCACCCTTCAAACCGAAACACAGCCATGCAAACACAGTTATAAATATAAAATAGAAAATAAAATGTGTAAAAAATGAAAAGAAACTTACTAAATTATTTCTAGTCTATTAAAGATATTGCAAAAGTTTTAAACTATTTAAAAGTGCATCGATGCTTTAATAAATTGATCTATCTGTTATTCTGTATATTTAATAGCGTGAAATACCTCTAAGAGCAAAATCTTCGTGAACTTGTTCCTGGCAAGCGCAAGATCCGAGTTTGCACCTAACTTAAATTATTTCAACTACGCGATAGGAATTTTTACGAGCCACCACGGATATAAGGCAATTCTGATTCATCTGCTATACGAGAATGCGCGTAAAATGTTTATCACACCTATTAATGTATGGCCACAAAGTTGGCGGAATACAGTACAATATTATTTCCGACTAGTTTTTACCCGCGAGTGTGTCTCCGTGACTGGAATACGTCGATCGAAGGGCGAATAGTATAGCATATGATCTTCTCTATTTTAAATAGTGCGTGTATATCAAATTTTATAACGATTGTTAAAAAACTAGTTTAAAATCAGTAGCTAAGAAAGCTTTGTATGAGAAAAAGACAATTGACTATTTTCAAACTTCACTCCGAAAATAGAAATTAATACTTTTAAAATATTTATTGAAGCTGGAGTAAAGGTTTTTTATGTAAAGAAACGTTTGCTCGAAAGGACGTGTAAAGCTCATTTTTCATTTACAAATTGGTCAAATTAAATAAAAAATAAATTTAAAAACAAATGTGTTTTAAAATGTATTTCTTTATTTATTTACTTTAGTATATTCACTTTTAATATAAATTATTAGATTATAACAAAAATGTACACAGTCGGACTTATCGCTTATAGAGATTTCTTCTAGTCAACCTTGAGAACCCGAAAGAAGGCAGTATCTATAGGGTTTGTTTATAAAGCATAACATATATGGTGCAAAAATAATATAATAAATTATGTTAATAATAGCCATATATTTAGTAACAGAAACATATATATTTGAAACTATAAATAAATATGTGGGCTCGGCATAGAATAGGCCATCTCTTCCTTTCCCTCGAATGTCGTAAGAGAATGAAAAGAGACAGTTTTTTTTTATACAACTTAGAATGGCAAAGAAGCTGACGGCCCACCTGATGGAAAGTGGTAACCGTCACCTATAGACATGAGCAGTATCATGGACATAACAGAGTATACTGTTTCGCCCATGATACCCTCCATGCGTTGCTATTCCTGAGGACTCGGATGTTATTCCTCTGTATCCTGTAAATTCACGCCATATCCCACCCTTCAAACCGAAACACAGCCATGCAAACACAACTGCTTCACGGTAGAAACACGAATGAGGCAGAGGTACCCAAGCAATCGACTTTTGTACAAAGTCTCCCTCTGGTATAAAATATATATGAGTGAATAAGAGAATGTAGTTTAAATTATTCTCTACTCCTTTACCAATTATAATTCGTTGGTTTATTTATATAAAGTCTATTTTAGTTTTTAAGTGTTGACAAAATATAATCAATAGAGTCAAGGTTAACGTTCTGATCAGATTACACCACGCAATTTTGTTGCTTTAAGTTAAAAAGTTTACGTAGTCAAAAGTCAAAGGATGTTAACTTTTAGATAATTACATAAGTTATTGAGTTAGTAACTTAAAAAAATTTTGGGTTGTTAACAATAAATATAGGTTTATATTTTTTTTAAATAATTTTTTTTCTTATTTATAAAAAAAATCTGGTATGACGCGAATTATTATTATTCTTTATTAAGTTTAAACAAAATAAAATTAATAAATATTTCATAAAGTTACAAAAAGAAAAACGAAAAATGAAAACAATGAGAAGCAAAATATGTTAATGTTTAATATTTTGTATTAAAAAAAAAAACAATTATTTGTAAAATAAAATACAATTTTATATGAAAATTAATCTTCTTTTTCTTGTAGATTAGACCCAATTAGACAATGTAGGACATCCTACGCTACGTAATTGCTTGTCGAGTCGTAGCTTTATTATACAGAGAAGCTACATAGTTGACTAAAATTACATTAAAAAAATATTCAATTTTATTATTTGAAAAGTAAAAAGGTAATTTATTTTCAATCCTATTATTTATATATTAGTATAAAGTTGAAATACGAGTATAAGCAAATTACCATTTCTAACAATACCTTGTAGGCGTTGATAATATTCATAAATTCAGGTAAAGGTTGAGGAGGTCAACATTGCATTTGGGACAAAAATTTATTTATAATTAAAATAAAAATATCAAAAGAAAAATGAAATTTATCAAATTAACTTCAAAGAAAAACAATCTTAATCAAAGAGCTTATAAAACTAAACATAGTAGTAAAAATCGCTGAGCATATTACGTAGTCCTGAGTCATTATATAGGTAAAGTTTGTACTATAAAACTTATATAAAATATATAAATAATAATTAATGCTCCTTTCCACTCAGGGTTTGCTGGAAGAGAACTCTTACAGAGTTAAGCTCGCCTGTTGTACATCTTTATTTTATATATATATTATATGTTGTAATTTTTTTCTGTGTACAATAAAGAATAAATAAATAAATAAATATATTTTTTTGTAAATATATTTATATATTATGATATACTATGATATACTAGACCACTACAGATATACTTATAAATATAAATGTTAATATATGCAGGTATCGAACCTGCAACTATCCGAAGATGAGGCAGAGTATTAAACCGTTAAGACGCAAAGGTCATCTAAATGTATAATATATAATAACCTACCTATAAAATAAATATACTACAAGATACAACGATAACCTTAAATGAATTACTGAAATTCAATAACACTGTTATTGTTGAAATCCGTTAACTGTCCACTGTCCATTGTTGTCCACTGGAGGCTATGGCCTCCC